AAGCAGCGATGGTCGATGCGTTTGAGGTCGTCGGCGAATAGACCTTGCTCAAAGCTTATTTGAAGAGTAATTTCGTAACATTTCTCACCAATAAGGCTTTTCGTAAGTTCATCCAGAAAGTGTTTTACTTATGGCTCCAAACTTAGGGGAAATATTTGCAACCAGATCCGTTAACGCATCAGAGAGACGTGTGGGGTCTATACTATATTCTAGGGTTTTTTTTTAAACCTAGGCTTCGTGGCAGTTAGCCTGACCTTCCTAACTTCTGAGGTAGACGAAATCCGCCGAAACGCCAGCTCTTTTGAGTAAATGGCATAGTGACAACCTCATGTGTGCTTGCCAGCAAAACAGCGAGTTGTTGATGAATGCCGAGGTAAATAGAAAGTTGGTCTTTGGGAATTGCTTCAGGAAGGATATGTCTATATGTGAGTTAGTAGAGCTTACTCTTATACTTCTGGCATACTAGTAGTTCTTTCTGCCCACACTGAATTTTCAAATATTGAATGTTCCAGGAACCAATTTCATGGACAACATTGCAAAACAGCAACCAGCTCTTTCGCCCTCCCTATAGGGCTTGCGAAATGAATTGCATTACAGCGGAAAATTCTGACAAGAGTTCTCTACTGATGAGAGAGCTTAATAGTGGAGTTATCCAATGAATTCGAAGCTCTACTTCGTTGTAGAGAATGGTGTCTCTGTTCAAACTGAGAACTATCTCTTATAATTTTTTATTTACATGATCTTATAAACTGATCGTTTTAAACTGACGCGAGGTTGGTACAGGTCTTCGTTGACGTTGTCGTTATTGTTGATGTTGTTGGTCGATGGCTGACGTCTATTTGAAAATTTTAAAGTTTGATCTTTATTAATACTTTAACCTTTTTCCCACCGAATAATAAAAATATTCTAATATAAAATACGTCCAGGATGTGAGAAAGGCGAAGTCGCCGAAACGTCAGCCATCAACCAACAACATCAAGAAGAACGACAACGACGACCTGTACCAACCTCGCGTCAGCTTAAGAAGGTCAGTTTATAAGATCATATAAATAAATATATCAACTATCTATGCTGAGGTTTATAGAAAGTCGGTCTTTCGAGTTATCTCTTATAATTTATCCGTTCTTTGGACTTTTAATGCACTCTTAGATCTCTGTTTAGAATGAAGCCTCACACGGTGAATGTGCACCTAACGCATAGGTAACTGTTGATCAGTGGAAAGATAAAGCTGTTCGACCTTCGCTTCGAAAGCATTTGAGAGTTCTCAACGACCTTTGCAATGTTAACTTTTTTATTTACTGCCTACTACAACTTACAATTTATTTACTGCCCGCATGGTGTGGTGGTGAACGCGTTACTCCCCGGAAAGGGTAATAGCACGTTCGTTCCCTACATCAGACATCTGCGGCTCGGAGTTTTGCAAATATCTCAGCTTCATTGAACTTTACAATTTTATTACTTTTCACTTTTTACTTCTTGTTTCCATTAAACATTAAACTTAAACTACAGTTTGTTTCACTTTTCCGCCAGCACCCCCACTCCGCTTCCCACCGCCTATTTCACCCTTGCGATCTAGGAAACGTTTATTTTATACATTTCATCTAGTTAATTCAATCAGACAAATCTATTTCAAAATGAAACTCATGGTACATTTCAATTTGTCGTGGTCGACTGCCTACGTAGCATTGCAAGGGTCCGCACCAGGTCTGACGGAGTGGTGATCGATTGGAGTAGGTCAAGAGAACATTGTCGATACCGATTTTTCGATAACTGTTGGTCGTTTTTCGGCAACTGAAGCCACTTGAGGAGCTCAGACCTTCATGGATTTATAGACGAGGCTTTGACGTACTGTCCTAACAGCGTAAATGTTCATTTAAAAGTGTTATTTTAATTTACATGTGCTTAACATTCTATCTTTTAAAAACTTGAAGCAAAATAAATATTTTGGAAAGGTTAAACCCAAATCGACGACACACTGGAAGAGGCCGTCGTTCTTGCCGAAAGAAATACGATTTGTTTGGTCCCATTTCTATCTGTGAACTACGAGCCTCGACGATGAACGTTCTTTTTTTGGGCCAAGAAGAAATCGAATGGACCACTGATCTCTTCAGGTGAACGGCGCCTGGGATCGATTCCCGCGCCTGTGGTTCACTGAGCCCTCCATACTTCTGGGGTCGGCAAAGTGGTACGAGATTTGTCCGGGAGGATAGCAGCACTGGCTCGATACATCGGTATGCCACCACGAGTCATTGTAAAGGTAACATATGCATTCAATCACCTCCAACGATGATTTATGAAGTCGAATTCATGGCGCGTCCCTCAGCAATTGACCAACACCGAGAGCTTCATCCTTCATCTTTTAAGAGAAAATCGGCGCAGGACAAGGAAAATAACTCTTGTATAAGAAATGAGAAAAATTTCATTGACTTTTACTTCAGTTAATGAAATTAATTATGAACTGGCTCGTTTAAAATTGCGTTGACGCACGCATTGAAGTCAATGCATGCTGTTCATTACGTGTCAACATAATAACGGTTTCATTATAAACCAACCACACTGAATGGAATAGAGTTAAACATACCAGGCAGCCGATGTGAAACGAAATCAAAGATGGCAATTCTGTGGAAGTGGTACACCAAACGGATTTCTGGATTTCCCAAAAAAGATCGCAAAAACACCTCAACAAATCCCAATCAGCATGCAAAGAAATGGTCCAAATTGTCACTCGGGAACTGAGCAAGTGAGTAGCCGAGGTGGATGTGAGGGTGCCATTGCTGGTAATTCTTCATCGATGGCGAAGACATTACGTCGTTCAATGACTACATAGTGATCCGATGGTGGTAAAGACCTAGTTGATCAGTAAACTGGCTTTTGTGATTACCACCGACTTTGGTATTGCTCCCGGCTCAAATTCATGGGGAAAAGAACATTTCTTAGGAGCAGGAAAATTGAGGCGACAAAGAAATACCTTGTTATGTCAATAGAAAGACACAGTCATTCTTCCAAACAGGAAACTTAATGCAACTGCTGGGTTCGAGTCCCATTGTCAATCGACGACGTGGACTTTCAATGGTCAATTTTGTTTTCAAGAGCGTTTGTTAATACGACTGCTAGTAAAGGTGATCTAGATTTCCTTTGATGGTTCTAGTGTAGGATATTTTAGCAAAGCCTGTATTCAGGGAAAGAGAAATTGTATACAACGTGGCTTTTCGTTAGCACATTCGTAAACAAATAAACTTCAGATCGGAATTTAAAGGTAGTTTCCGCTCACCCGAGATGAACGAAGAGTGTCACACTTCTCGTATTACGCCCTTTATTTCCACAGTTGTTGGGACATGGGTAGCTCTCCAGACTCAGCCTCGGCGAAGTGGGTATAGCGATGGGTTGTGTGTCAGCCTCTTTCACAATAGACAAGAGGCTTGTTTGTTGCAGGACCACGAACACCTACCTATATAGTTCCGTTCAACTTGATTAGATTACAAGATTTTGTCAATGTCTGTCTGAAGAATAAAATATGAATGCACATTTGTGGATGCACGTATGAATAATTATGTTTATGAGCGTACCGAAGGTGTACGTCATTTCGGCGGAAAGACAGGGACTTCATCCCCTGAGAAAATCGCCATCTCAAAGCAATAATACGGCTTATTACCTTGTGTATGAAAATGCCCTGTATCGTATCGGTAAACTGCCTGCCGACTCGTCCTCGAGAAAGAAGTCAATAAACAACCTCGTCACTTGTACACCTTCTTCTGAAATGTACTCAGATATCAGCGATTTAATAAATATGTGGGCTCACTTCAATGAGATAATGAGACTGCGAACCTTATCTAGAGCTAAACATTAGCACACCGGTGACGGTGCGTGCTGATTTCAACGCGGATGACGCACAACGATGGCCGCTTCGAGATTTTTACCAACGTATCCTAGTTCATACTAAATTATATCACCCGCAATAAAGAACACTACAATCTACAGATCTTTGGCCATAAGGCACAAGCTTTCATACCCTACGACTACGGAATTTTGCTTTTTTTAACCCCATAGAACGTAAATTCTTCCCTTTTCTTTCATCAGTGCGCTTTTTTTAAACAAAGAAGCATTTGAACGGGCAGAATTTCGTCTAGAAGGTAGTGATGGTGGTAATGTGTTCCTTGCGTTTGCAGTTACCGCTTTTGTTTGGGAATTTTTGGAAGCTCAAATCCTGCTTTCAATTTTTGAAAGCTCTAAGAGGATTTAGAAGAGGAAGGATTTTTGATTCTTAACCAGACCGTTCACGGAATAAACGTTTCAAAACTACCTCTAGTAAGTCGAACAATATCAAGAGTGTACTAAACTTTTTACAGCAGGTGTTATGTAAAATACAACCACAAAGGTGCTGAGATATTTGCAAAACTTGAACTCCAGGCAAGAACGATCCTCGATTACCCATTCCAATGGCTCACGGCACCACTGAGGCCCTCGTTGTGCCTTTCTCTCACCCAGCGCCAAGATTGGGAGCAAGCGGGTCATGAAAGTCTCCTCTATAAATCTGTAAAGTTCTCAACTCTTAAACAACTCTGTGAATGGTGCAATTATTGTCTGTGGTAGAAAAACTAGCATCGGCTCATCGTTGTGAAAAGACTTCAAAACAAGGCTATGTCATTTAGAGCACTGATGTATCGTTAAGTATATCTAAAGCACATAGGCTCCAATCCAGAATTCGAGTTCAAGACTGTGCCAGCGCTTTTTTTTGCTCTCGGGTTTCCACCTTTTGCACACCAACACCGAGCGATAAGATTTTATTTGGGTCAAACATTCAAGGCCACGATTTCAATCCAACGTCGTCTCCGTACGCTCTCGACGATTTCTTTTTCACCACTGCTGACCATTTTCTTGCCTTTTCTTACCAGTTAATTCAACTTCGGGCATTAGATATTCGCTAATTCATTCGAATTAGATACTTTTGCCCAGATGGAAATAAGGCTTCTGATTGATTCACTTTTATAGGAGCCTATCGAATGGATGCCTTTCTGTTCGTTCTTTTGTCCCTACAGATTTACTACCTTGGAGGTATGTACAACACTTATACGATTTTCCAATCTATTAGAAGAAAACATCGGAAAATTCTTCTGCTCACTCAAATGCCTTTTTATTGCTACCGATTTCTTCCAGTCTTAAACTGAACAAACATATTGGTACAAATTAAATACAAATTTTAGGCCGATAGAGAAATGGTTATAACAGCCACAGCCTTATAGAATATGTCAGTGCAGTTTCCATTGAAACAAAGATTAGACAGCATAAGTGAATATCAGTGGGAACAAAACCTCTGTCCACTTAGTAGCTTTCTGCATTTTACTTCTCTTATGGTACTACGAATAAAAGGACTTTTTTCAAAATGTTTTGTGCTATCTCTTAGTGGCCTGGTCGTCGAGGGACTCGAGGTGGTCCAGTAGACCTTCCGTCTCACCCTGTAGCGAGCAAGAGAGGTCCAGTGCGCTGTGCTCGTTCTAGGGATTCATTGAGCACCATATCTTGCTTCGAGGATTTTCGAGGGTTTGAGGACGGACTTAATCTATGTAGGCAATCATTTTTTTTAAAAAGCGCTGTGATTTCATGTAAAAAATGAAGCGTTACGATTATGGCAGCAATATGTCCTAGTATTACTGACCGCCCGTTGGTACTCCCTTCCTAAATTTCATACATGAATTCTTGATTCTATGTTGAAATAATCTCCAGAGATTCAAATTCTAAGAAATCGTGGAAGGACGCGAAATTTTTAGTTGCAACAGACAATTTCGTTGATTTTATGGAGAATGTTATCGATGTGACGAAAGTTACATCGGAAGAAGACGGTCTATTCGTTTGGAGCAGCGATCAGAAAGAAGAGCAGGATCTAAGTGTCAGTTTCTTCTGAACACTACACAGTCAAAGTGTTTTTGTTCATTCCCTCGCATTCAGAATTCCACGACGTTAACGACGTTATCGCTCTTATCGGAATCCATGACCGATTTCCTCGCGCAAAGGTGAAATGCTTCCTTTCTTTCAAAAATCTTTAAAAGCGTCTCCAGATTTGTTTCTCGCAACCAATAAGAGTCCCCCAGATGTTTTCGTTCACGCATTCCACTTGATAAAACCTCTGTGGGCACTAAAATGGTAATAACGGTATTGTTGAAGACAATTAAAAAAATATTAATGGTGAAGAAGTGGAACTTTCGGCTATTGAACAAATCAAGCGATCGCGACGCACCTTTTCGAAGATGTCTAGGCGTTGGTCCACTTAGTTCTTGCCTTCTAAGAGCTTTTTATATTCATCTCAATGCATCTAGTCTTATTGATTACAAGTTATTTGCAAAAGTGGGGAGAGATGACATGCAATTCACCCGAAGTCCGTAATCCTTCGTGGAGTGATAGTCTTTTAAACCCATCGTAATCGAGTTTCTGCTGATTGAAGTGAATTTAGCATCCCTGGAAGGTGTACGCTTTCCTTGGAGTTTCCTACTTTTTTCTGTTCAGAATTACTTTATTGTTTGTTTGCGAACTACTGTGGCACTTTATGGATTCAGAAAGTGAAGTCAACAACAATATTAAGTAAACTCAAGTTAATGAACGTTAAACACAAGCATTCCTTGAATACATATTGAGCCAAACATGGGGTCTTCATATAAGGTGCCAAATTTTGATTGCATAGATATTGTATAATCAAAGAGAGAGAGAGAGAGCACTACTAGAAAATTTTTCAGCGCGAACACATCAACATCCGACCATATCGTTTCCCGATTTGAGCAAAAAACCTACGATTTCATGGTTCCAGAAGGGTCAAACAAGGTTTCTGTTTCCCAGAAACGGTCCTTGTTCTTACAGTAGAGACATGGTCCGAGAGGTCTTAAACTTCAGATATCCACCCTTCTGGCAGTCATCGTGTACATGGGGCAAAAGGGCAAACCACTCCCGATTTTCAAGACTTCATTTGATCGGATGAAGTGGTTCGAACTTGGAGAGGTTGTTTCAAAAGAGGTGGTATTTTTTATTAGTCTTCTTTTTAGCTTTTAACACTGGAAATAAAATACTTCTAAGACTTTTGAACTAACAGACGTGCAAATCTGTCAGCATGACAAATTCAGTTGAACGCACAGTGTTCAGCAACTTCAGTGACATCCATCGGTACTGGTCACTGCTCCTCTTCTGAAATTTCTACGCTAAGGGAACCGACTTATGATGCTGTTATATTATTTGTAAAAGAATATTTAGCTGGAATCTGACAGGCTGATCAGAACTGGAAAGTGCGCTTGATCTGAAGTCGGAATCCAATCAGAAACCTATTATGCGACACTAACTCCTCGTTACATTGTGCTACGCACTCTCTAGTGGATACTATCTACTAGCACAAAAATTCATTATTTCAGTTCGACGACTACGTTGAGTATAGTGTTGGGATCAATCAGCGTGCTGATGTGTACGTACAGTACAACTTGACAAAAAACGGCTTCTACAAGTTTTCTGTTGAGGTGCTTTTTTCATATTGATAGACATATGTGTGACGTTTCATTGGCAAACGACCTTCTTAACATCTGTAAACGGTTTTGCAATTTGAAGTTGTTAATAAGGGCGCGTGTGGCGAAGTGGTCGGAGGCACCCTGTAACACACACGTGGAATCGATCCCCGCCTCCATGGCCACCAATCCTTCCATCCTTCCGGGGTAGGGAAATTGGTGCCAGACTTGTCTCTGAGGATAGCACCATTGGCTCGGTATATCGGTAGGTCTCTGCGAGTTATTTTAAAGGCCAGATATGCATTCAATCACCTTCAGACGATGCTTGATGAGGTCGAATATATGGCGGATCCCTCAGGGACTGATCAACGCTGAGAACTTTACCCTTTTACTTGACCTTAAGTTGTTAATGGTTTATAATATTACATTAAGATGCCACAGAAAAACGTTTTAGCAAGATGATGGGTAAGGTTGAGGTTCAGTTTCAGAGACTGGATACCAACTGTTTCTTTGACGAGGAGTTAAGCAACCGTCTACAATTCTGGCAATACTATTTCTTTGAGAGGCAGTGAAATCATAATTGTTAAAACCTTAGGCTTTTTTTGAGCTGTTCAAGTATGCGTCGTTTTCTTCAATCGCGAGGTTTTTAAACAGCATACATTTACTTCCATAGAGAAACACAATACAATACAACACCAGCTGACGTTTCGGCAGTATCGCCTTCTTCGGAGCCGCTTTTTCGTGACTTCCAATGAGGAAGTTTTGAGTCGTCAACCATATGCGACTATAATCAGTTGTTCTAAACTCTGAGGAAGGCGATACTGCCAAAACGTCAGCTAGCGTTGTATTGTATTGTGTTTCTCTATGGAAGTAAATGTATG